CTGACAATCTAAAGCCAATGTTCTTTCCATTCTTTACTCTGAATTTAGACTTTTGTCTGATGTGTATTTTAAACTATGTAAAAGGTTTATACATTAGTTCATTCAACAACTATATATTGAGTGCCTACTGTATTCCACGTACCACTTGCTGTATATCAGTTTACAAAACCAATGAAGAAGATCCATGGCCTCAGAGTTTACATTCTCAAGGAGTGAAGGATATTAATATGTCTTTGTATTAACAACTATAAAAAAATCAATTCTCTGGTGGATTTAATTTTTCTAGGAAAAAGAACTGCTTGCAGATTCATATAGACTAAATGTATTTTTTTCCCTCTTTCAAAAGGTTTTCCAGTTACCAATGATAGTTTAAAAATGGTTCCCAGCTGTTGTAAATGTAGTGAATCTACCTATAGGTCCTGACTTTACTGCTTACTAACACCGTATCTTTGAGCAAATTATGTGACCTGAGTCTCAGTTTCCCCATATGTTAATGGAACTACTGTTTGTATTGTTTTGCTCAGAGTCATGAAGATCAGATTTGGTAATTTATGTAAAAATGCTTTATAAACTACAGAGCACAATAGAAATACTGGTTGGGTACTGTGATACGCAAAATGTTTAAAACAAAATTGTATGCTAACTATATATTAATATGTTATAATTAGAAAAAAATGAGTTCTAGTTCTCTTAAAGCTCTAAATACTGAGTGGTAATGACTAGATTGCAATTTGAGAGGATTAAACTGTTTAAGTTACTTTTATTTCTGACAGACAAGGGGATTTGTTGCAAGCAGTAAACCATACAATGGTTGTTCAGAGCTTACTAACCCTGAGGCAGTGGTGGGAAAAATCGCTCTGATACAAAGAGGACAGTGCATGTTTGCAGAAAAGGCACGCAACATCCAGAATGCCGGAGCCATTGGTGGCATTGTCATTGGTAAGTAATCCTCCATGTCATTATGTTGACTAGGAGGAGATAATTTTTAGGATTTTTGTTTTTATTTTCTAAAATTTTATCAAAGAGTTTGTCATTATTTTTGCTTCACTTAGACAACATAAAGGATGGGTAATCCAGTACTCTTAATAATTTCTATATATCTGATGTCTCTTTTGAAAGCCTAGATTTGGGTTTCTGTATATTAATGTCTGTGAAAATACTTGCGGTCAACTATGGTGGGATAGGAGTGAGTGATAAAAGCACTCGGTACCACAGGTAAGAAAATGTGCCCATGAGATCCAAAACCTCTGAACGGCAAGAATTACACTTTGTCCCTTCCACTGGGGAGCCATTGAAAATTTCCATTGCTCTACAAAGATGCAGGCTTTGGAGTCAGACACATGAGGGTACAGTTCCTGGCTCGACCACAAAATTGCAGTGTAACCTTGGCCCAACTTCAGTTTTTAAATCTGATTCTTTAGTAGAATATGTTTTGAGCTTCAGTGGAAATGGTAATAAATATCTTTTAGGTGATAGTAAAGTTTA